AGAGGAGATTTGCCCCTCACAAGGAAGTCCACCAACTGAAAGAATTTTATTTCAGAAAATGCCAACCTGAGGAGAAAGCATGCAGACTATAAGCCAATTTTAAACAGTGGATAGTTTTCAAAGAGCGAACACGAGAGCAGAAGGGAATTCATTCACTAGGAAAATAAAATAAAATAAACATTATCTTCCTCCCCCTTGCTTTTTTCGTTTTTGGGTGGGCTGTGTCTCCCAGTCTTGCTGGGGAGTGTTTGTCCCTCCCACCTCAGTGGTGACAGACTCACAGTGATGCCTGCATGTCTGTCTCACAGGTGTGGGTTCTGAGACTTGCCAGCTTAGCGAGACTTTGGAGGCATCTCCCACCGTGGTTGTAAAGAGAAATGGAGAGAGATAATAGTTCACTGGCATCAATAATCTACTTCCTCCAACTGGATGAGCGTTAGAATAATAGCCTCGGCACTTGCCCTCCCACACCCCCTCCCCTGGCTCCGCCGCTGTCAAATTCTCTTCCCTTCTCCACAACTGGGAACTCTAGGGAGCAGATTGTTTTGGCTGGAATTAGCCGGGCACAGATGGTACCACCTGCTGCATGTTCCTTACTTCTTATTGGCTTCTCTCTCAGCTCTGTGAGTTTTTGTATTTTTTAGGAGTTCAGAGGAAGGGGAAATGGCCGAGGCTCTTGCCCATGCCTGATTCTAGCACAGCTGTTTGCAGCGAACTGGCAACTGCGGGGATAGTGCTGGGATATGCTGACTGGGGAAGGTACTTCCAGGGTAACGTATCACCGTGGCGTCCTGTTTGCTGTATCTAGTGCTTTCGTTTCCAAAATACAAACTTTCTTTGAGCCAAACAATTTCTGTTTTCCAGGCTGACAGAGCTGCCTGTGACCAGACAGAATGCAGGTGGTCTTGTGTGAGTCTGAAAAATGAGATTCCTCTCATTTTAAAATCAGAAGGGCATAGAATGTCATGTTACTGTTCATTTGATAGGGGAGGTAATTATGAATAGGCTGCAAACAAATTGCTGAGCTCATTTCTGGACAAGTCACTGAGAATAATAACTCGGGAGGCCCCAGGCTCCCACAGAGTGAATCTCATCAATTTATAAACTGTTTTCTCACCTATGGAAACATGAAATTGGACCAAAGGACCTAAGAAGTTCTACTCCTCCAGATCCTCTGAATTCCATTGAGTTGGTCCTGAATGCTTATTATTAGATCACATTATAAACCCTTCCCATGACCTGGGAACTGTTTTCTCTGTTGCTCTGACGTCATCTTCCACCATTCTCCCTTGTCTACTATGCTTTGTTAGGCTGGCCTTCTTTTTATTCGCCAAAAAAGCCAATTCACTCCTGCCTTGGGTATTTGCACCTGCTGTCCCTTCTTCTGAAACTCTTGCTGCACGTCTTCCCATGGCTGACCTCTTTACAACCTTCAGACTCGAGTCAATCACCACTGCCTCGGGAGATTTTCCCGATGCTCCGCCCACCCCCAGCTGACTGTCCATTATTGCCATTTCATTTATGATTACGTCACCTTCTTTTATCTCCAACAAAACAGCACTGTCTGAAGAGATCTATATAATGGTTCTGTTTTCTACTTTCCCTGCTAGAATGTATGTCCCTGAAGGCAGGGATATTGTCTGTTTATTCATCTCTGTATCCCTAGGACATGCAACCGTGTTTCTTATATAGCATTACTCACTAATATACATATTATTGAGAGAAAGGTATTATTTTGTGTTTAAATAGAGGAAGCAGCAGGATATAGAAGGGAACATGCTTGGGACATCCACATTGGTCTCTTCTTAAGGCACCTGGCACTTGGTATTATCCTTACTTGTGTATGTGTGCCTCTGCCAGATTGTAAGAAGCCTGAGATTAGTAATGCTGTCAGGTTTATCTTTGCATATCCCACAGTACCTAGTATTGTGACTGACACATGGTAGGTACCCAGTACATTGAGGCATTATTAATGTTGCAATTTGTTGTTTATTAGCATTATTTGCAGGACTACTAAATAGAATGAAAGCATCTTACAAGTAGTAGAAGTATCAATAGAATCAGTAAAACATCTATGCCGTAACTGGAGATCTGGCTTCTGGTCCCAGCTCTGCCAATAACTATGTAGTAATTATAGGGTTTTATTTCCTTGGAACGCCAGAATTTGAAAATCCAGGGCTTTGGATGAGAGGGCATCTAAATTCCTTCACACTCTAACCTTTTGGTCTGTTTCCATCTATTCCAATTTTCCCACTGCAGACTTATGAATCTCCTACTGCTCCTCTTACTGTGTACACCTGCTGCCTTGATTCCTCCTTGGGCCATGTCTGGATCATTCAGTGCATTCAGGGTTCAGGAAGGTCATGACCAGAGAAAGAATGGAACTGAGGACTCCTGAAGTGGGCTTAAGCTGAAAACTGTGGGTAGAGAGTTAGGATGGAGGCACTACTCTTCAATGACCATAAGCATTGTCAAGAATCTTCAACAAAATGCATGAGTAACACGTAGCAGCAGCAGTTAGCAATTTTTAAAGAGCATTTTTCAAAACTGAGAATGTCTCTGGCTCTCAGTTAAAGCAGACTCTAGCCCAGAAGCAATTAATAGTCCTGAGATGGTGATGTGACACCTTAGAGTAACAAAGGTTTCTAAAGTAGGTTTTCATTGCACTCCTGCATCAAAGAAAGAGTTTTTGTAGACCAGAATGAACTTCCTGTGGCAAGTAGTGAAACTAACTCATTTCTTCTAATGTTTCCATAGCCATTTGAAGAAGCATTTTACTGTGATAATTGGAAAGAACACTAAGTGGTGATGCAGAAGACTGAGATTCTGACAATCTAGGCTTAACTGTTTTCTAGAGATCATTGTGGGACAGAAACAAACAACTTATGTGGTCTCAAGGATATGTAGACTTCAATTTCCTCATCTATAAAATGCAGGTAATTGATTAATTAACTGCTTTTATTTTTCCAAAAATTACAAACATAAAGATTTTATTCTTACTGAACTCATATGAAAGTTTTACTGAAGAATGAGAACAAGGGTTTTGACAATTTTAAGGTAGACATGAAGTGTGTTATAATTTGGTCAAGTCATAAATGAGTTAACGTAGGCCAGTTTGTAAATGCAGGCATCTGACGTGAGGGGGCATGATGATTCCTGGGAAAGCATTTGTACAAATCATTATTCTGATTTTCATTTAAAAAGTCAAGGAAGTACATATTAAGCAGGTCTTGTGGTTACAACTCTTGTTCTTAGAAGATCTTGTGGACTATTCCATCAACATTTATTTTAAAGTGAGTGAAATGTCCCTTGTCATGGAATTGTCTTTGACAATACACAAGCACTTTACACTGCAGAAAAGGGAAAGAAAAGGCTCTATTTGACTGTTTGGCTGATTACTTCTCAGCCTACTACTATTCTTTCTACTACTAGTGTGTTAAGGGTTAAAGCAAGTTGGGAAGGGTGGTTAGTACTTCTCTTTTCCCCCTCTTGCTTAGATGTACCTTCAACCGGAAACCTATGAGCTCACACTTTCTAAGCATGTTCAATAATGAAGTGGTAGACCTCCACAGAATGTTTCAGGACTCAGGAAGTGGTTGAGGGTTATTCAATAGTTGGTGTTCTCCCTTTATGTCTGCACCAATCCTGGTCTGCACTACAGGGTTGGGAAATGTTTGTGTTGGAAGTGGTGTCTTTCAGAAGAGATGTAAAAACCAAGGTCTGGGTTGCTTGCGGTCACTAAATATACCATAATGTTTTTGGTGAGTATAGGGATGTTCTTGAGTTTCCTTTCTAAATTTGCATTCTTTTATTCATCCGTATTTTTTTAAAGTAATTTGAAGGCTGTATTTCTTTTTTCCTAAACGAAACTAGAATGGGTATAACTGTACTTGTTCACCCTATAATAATACCATTTTAGGAATGAATAAAAGTGATTTTTCTCATGTTTAAGGAAAGGTCATTAACTAAAATCTAAGTTTCCCATAAAATGAGTGAAGATAATTTAATATTTTCTCTATTTTGTTGTTGTCATATCTTACAAATATGGATTTTTTGGTGAAGCTGTCTTCAGAGCCTTTTATTTTTCCAGCGTCAACATTTTAAACGTCTTTGATTTATGTAAGGTAACAAAATATAAAATGCCTGGAAAGCATTCCTTTCAGACTCTTTCCATGTCTTCAGTATTTAATTATTTATTTTAAAAACTAGCTGTTCAAGTGTACACATGCAAACTTAGCAACCCTGCACACACATGCACACATGCCCACACCCACATACACTTTACTTCCCTTTGACTGCTCTGAAAATGGTCAGAACAAGATCATAATGCACAAATCGTTCTCTGTTTCCTTATGTTAGATCAGTTCCTTCTGAGTTCTGTGCTTGCCAATGCTGAATTTCCTGCCAGGGCAGTAGTCTATTTTTAACATTTTGGGGGCTTATCCTTCTTTCCAAATCTAATAGACGTATTCCATGGAGTGAAAGACAGAAAGCTGACTGGGTGCACTTACAAATCAGGATCATCAGGATTTGCAATTTCTGTGGAATCAAAGCTATGAATGAGAAAGACCAATTAGAATACTTAAAAGATCATTTGTCACCACTTTAATCTTCATGTATTTTTTACTCATCATTTTCTTTGACTAAAATTATTAGAATCTTTGTCATATTCATCTCAAGGCCAAATGGGAACCGTGGTGTTCATTTTCTATTTTCAATATTTTGGAGCATTTTAACATGTCATGCTAGATTATAGGTAGTAAGCGACTCATTTCATAGAGAAAGTTTTAGCTTGTGGCATATTCAGCATCATATCATCTCAGTGTCATTTCTCTAATTCCATATTTCATATACAAATGAAGACTAAGGGATCTATTTCTGTTATTTAATAGCATTTGTTTAATTCCAAGATTAATATATCATCTTCAACCCTGAAACAGAGGCCCTCTGAAACATCAGACCCAAAAAATTGGACACAGCCTACTAGCCCAAAAAGAACATGTTGCCAATTATCTCCATGTTTATTTAAATATTTTGTTCTAAAGGAAGCAATCATTCCTTTATACTTCTTTAAATTTAGTATTGACATTTTTATTTTGGGAAAGGAGGTCTTTTTTTTTTTTAACATGGATACAGGAAAAGAAAACTCTCCAATAAAAATATTGTCTAAAAAGTTTGTTTTGTCTGCATGATTTACTAAATATGTACAATTTCAATTCACAGCGAAGGTAACAAAGATTTAAACAGCCAACATCACAAATGTCTCAAGTTCTAAAAAAAAATCACTGTGCACAGTTTAACAATTTAATTGAAAAAACCAAAGCTAAGCCTTCAGTCTGAATCTTTTTTTATGATGGGCACAAGCCATGTATTTTCTTCATCTTTGTTACACGATGCATATTTCAGTGACTAAAGCCCCTTCCCATTTTAGTATATT